AATGTCAAGCTTGTTACCATGATATGTAACAAAAATGTATTTTGACTTTTATTTCAGAAACTAAAAAAATAAAACATTGAGAGAATCTCCTAATTTTTCTTTCAAATCAGTTAGATGCCCACTTAAGCCTTTAAATCTTTTATAAAGACACTTCTTGGGTTTTGGTAGCTCTAAAGGCAATAAAATTAGTGAAGCTTGAACTGCAGCTAAAAATCTTTAAAAACAGTAATCTCCTGAATTGCTAATTAAATTGTGGAGCAGAAGAAAATTAATAAGTGTAAACTTGATCTCAATTTAGGGAAACATTTTAAATGATTACTAGTCATAAAATCTAATGAACTCCAAGTGACTCTTCAAATTATTTTTTTAATTTGAATTTTATGGGCACATTTGCTTGAAATAAGTAATCCTAGTGAGCCCACAGGCTTCGATTAATTTTGGGTCAGAGACTTAATGACCAGTATCTAAAATGAGTTTTGTGAACACAAACTGTATTGTTGATATGCAAACCCTTTTTTTGAGTGCTGATCTTTATTGTTATTAATCGGGGAAGCATGTTCTTATGGAACTATGTTTATTGAGTGCCAGGAATAGAATTGATGACTGGGGAAATAATTTCTTTCCAGTGTTTTTTAGTGTTATCAGAGAGCAAAATTGTGTCTAATAGGGCCTGTTAGGACTAAGGCATTCATAAATACTGAATTTTGTCTGAGGTAATAGGCTTTGCGAATGTAAAAGAAAACTCATCTTAGTTCTTTAATAAACAGTACAAATGGAACCAAGCTTCAGGTAACCTGTAGGCTATTGGCATTTTAAATGAAGTGGCTTAACAACATTTGAATCACTGATTTGTGTAAATTTAAGGATACTGATGGCCTCAGATATTGATCAGATTATTACCTGTTCCCTTTAGGAAACCCAAAAAAGACAAAGCTGATTCAAGGTCATCAGGTTTTATAGTTACTTTCAAAATAAACTTAAAAAAGATGACAATTTTAATTGTAAAGCTTAACTGAGAATATAACATGGTAAATGGAAGAGTGGAAAAAAATTTACATTCTTAAGTATCTGTTGGAGAGAATCCACAGTTTCAGTGAGGTTCTATAAATTCAAGATAATTCTGCATTTTACTTCGTAACCTTTGACTTAACAATTTAACTGTATGACCCCAGTGTTTTGATTTCCCAATTTAACTGTACCAACTACACTGATTTCATTACATGGCAGTGTCTTCTGCTTTCTGTTTCCATATCCTGTTACAATATCAAGCCCCCAAATCCTTCTGTCAGCAAGTTTCATATAGTGTGGGAGCTCCTTACTTTGGGGTGTATGGCTCCAGCCTCACAGTTCTATTGACTGCCTAAAATTAAATGCAGAAATTTGTGCGTTTTTCTGGGAAGAGGGTTCTGTAGCTTTCATCAGATTCTCAGTGGAATCTGTGACTTCCCGAAAGGTTAAGAATCCCTGATTGAGAGAAAAAAGAATGCTAAATCAATTATCAGTAGACATGGGTTCTACAATAGCATAGTTGTACAATACTTCATAAACTTTTATATCCATTCTCCATTGTAGCCTTTTAAGAAAGCAGAAATTATCTCCATCTTACAAATGAGCAAACACCCAGATCTAGAGCTACTGAAATCTAGCTTTCCTGGATCCAGATCTATTTTCTCTCTGCTTCTACTCAAAACAGGAGCCCAAATGGAAGGTACTGTGGCATTTTGATAATAACCCATTAGTTGTTAACACCCTGCCCACCAAACCCTATGCTTTTCTTTACACTGGTGGCATTTGGGTTTTCATGGGGTTTTTTGGTTTGGTTTTTGGTTTCCTGGAACCTTCATTATCTTCTCTGAATTCTTTTTGTTTTTAAACCAAAGCTTCAAAGACAAGTGGGATTATTGAGTCTTTATTGATTGGTTTGAACCTTTTATGAGACCGTAGTCTAACCTGTTTTACAGCACATAGACATTGTAAAACAGCATTTTATTACTAAAACTTGGATTTGTTTCATTAAAATTAGTAGTTTGGTGCAGTTGAAAGAGCATTACACTGGGAATCAGAGAACTTGGGGTCTAGTATTGACTTTGTAAAATCTCAGGCGGATTATTTTAGCTCTCTTCACTCAGGGATTCTCCTCTGGAGACTGGGTGGGGTTTCTGCAGGAATGACCCAGCTTTTTAAACTACATGTACCCCTCCCTGTCTCCCCTACCGAGAAAATAATTCTCATCTCCCACTTCCACCCTGTCGTTGTCAGGAGTGGGCCATTGTGTGTGTTACGACCCTCAGGTGCACTGAGATTGAAAAAATTGGAGTCCTGTTGATCTGGAAGCTTCTTTCTACCTCTTCTTACTCAAAGTTCATCAAACCTGGGTTACAGGCCAGTGTAAGAGCTGCAAAGATTAACTTAGCATACAATAGTACGGGAAAAGTTCATTTGGTAACTCTAAAGGACATGTGAGGTCTCAATTTACATGATTTCTTAGTTGTTGGTCAAGAATTACTACGTATTAGTCCCTTTTTTTATCATAGATCACGATAACTGGGAAGCCCTCCGCAGTGCAGTACAAATTCCAGCCTTCCTCCCCTGCAGTCAGCATGCTGCTGTTGGTAACATGCCAGAACTTGTCATAGTTAGCAAAGCTGTGTACTCCATGAGGACAAAAGCTAGCTCTGATTCTGCTCACCATTGTATCACCAGCCACAGTACCTGGTTCATAGTAGCCATTCAGTAAATGTCCAGTGGGTGACTGAATAAACAGATGAATCTGGGGAGAATAAGGACCTACAGCCCAAAACTGTTCTGTTGACTTCAGCATATCCTAGTTGCTAAATGCAGAAACAAAGAGGTGAGGAAAGTTCCTGGAAATCTTTTTGGGTGGTGATAAGTGAATGGTTAAGAAGCCAAGACTGGTTTGGGATTTACTTGGGACTATCCACTTAAATTTTAACTTGTAACAAAATGAATCAGGTAGTGCCCTATCTGAATGAGAATGAAGCTGAAAGAATTTGGTCGAAGCTTAAACCTATCAGAATATTTGGGTAATGACCTATTACTCCATTACTTTTCTGATCCATTGATGAGTAAGCAGGAAAAAAAACTGTTTTGTTCCCTTATTGGAAATCTAACATAGGAGCCCATTTTACTGCCCAAGTAGGATTTAGTGAACAAAATTTTATGATTCTGTATCTTATAGAGTCTCAGGATTCATCGCAAACCTAAGTATATGGTGTATTATGGATGTACTAATAGATTAAGGAGACTGGGATAAAAATTGCACTGACCCAGAGTGGCCTTATAAATAGGTGTAGTAGGTAGATGGTAACCCACATGGTTTGGTTTGAGAGAGGCGGAGAAGTCTTCTTCCAGAAATATCGCCCCTCTGGATTGTTCCAGTGCTTGAAATTTCACCATTTACTATCTCTGGATTAAAGAATTTATCTGTCTTCAAGAATTTCCTGTTAAACATTCCTAAGAGAGCTAGCCCATTATCAACTTGAATGACATGACTGGCCAAGAACAGGTCACAGAATGGGCTACCTTTTGTAAGAGTGGCAAAGGTAGAGATAGGTCCTGAGAAAGGAACCACGCCTGAGGGATGCAGACCTGCATGGGTCACTGAGCTAGCAGGTGCATGACAATCCTCGGTGTTTGGAAAATAAAATGCCAGAAGGCCAGGAAGGGTACTGAAAGGAGAGATCCGAAGGTATCACTTCAGATTAACCTCACCTGCTTCCCAACCTTGCCCAACTAAGGCTTCTGCATGGGCAAAATGTATTCTATACTCTTAAATCTAGACCATACCCTCCATTCCTGGCGAATTAATTCTGTTGATTTCAACTCAGCTTCCAGGCCATCAAGATCATTTTGAGTCATATAGCATAGTAGCCACGTACCCCAGGATGCATGATTTATTAAGTGTGCCTTGTGTGTTTTTATCTAAGTCACTAGTTCTTATTCTTAGATTCAGGGAGTCTGTAATTTATCTAAAATTGTACATGTCACTTTGTGTGTATAAGCATTTTTCTAAGGCAAGGGGTCCAGAGTTTTCAGCATATTCTCAAAGTGATCCATTATCTCAAAAAAGGTTAAAAACCACTGATCCAATGATTTATCAGCATTTTGATCAAAACAGTGCTAGTAAGAGCAGAGTTTTATAAGACTGCCAAGAGTGCCTGCCTTCCTGCTCAGCACCAATTCATCAGAAATTTGGAGGTGTTGTTGACAATTACGTACTATTAGTCTCTTTTCTTGTGATTTGCCTCTATCAGAAAGGCAGAAGGGAAAGTGAATTCCAGTTCCTTTGGCATTCTTGTAATTGAAATTTTTACACTGTTGTGTTTAGCTTTTAAGCTCTAAATATTAGGTCATTCTTAAAACCTTCATCATTTTGCTTCCTGAACCCATCAGACACCATATATCATAATATTATATTTCATCTGAATGGAATTATAGATGCTTCAAAACTGCAATTGGCTGAAAATTAACACATCAAAGAAAATATATAAAGTAAAAGCTTGCTGTCTCTTCTCTCCATGACTGTGGACAAGTGTAATATTAATTTCAATTTCAATCTATCCTAAAACCTTCAAAGATTCTATAGGTAGATCTATATAGAAAAGGTTTCATAGTGTCCTCCACATGAAAATCTAGATGTGATAAGTTAAGGAATTCATTTCTTTATTTAAAGACCTCACTTAGAAGGAAGTCAGGCACAAAAAAAGTACTTACTGTATAATCCTATTTATATTAAGGTCAAGAAAAGGCAAAGTTAACCTCTGAGATGAAAAACAAATCAGTGCTTGCCTGGGTCCAGGGTGATGATGGCATTGCACAAAGGGGCACAGGAAACATTTAAGGATGATGGAAACGCTCTATTTAGATTGTTGTGGTGGTTCCATGGGTGTATACATCTGTCAAAACTCATCAAATTGTACACTTGAAATAGGTGCAATTTATTGTAAATGAAGTATATGTTAATAAAATTATTTATAAAAGATTTACCTTAGGATCATTACGATTTTTATTGAGCATTACTTATTGAACCTTAAAATAAGATTTAAAATCTGATTGATTACACAAATGAAAAAGTCTACCTATAAATTGCTTCAAAATGGGATGTAGATGAAATATGATCACTAGAAAAGTTTTTTAACAGGTGAAGAAGAGGTGGTATCAATGCATTTTAATTCATAATAAGCATTTATACAAGAATGATCTCTCTTAATGTGGATTATCCCAACAGTCAAACAGATTAATTACCTCAGATTATCTAAAACAGATCTTAAGTGTTCATTTAGAACAGTTTCCTAATCTGGCCCTTCCAAAGTAGATTGCATCAGACAGTGTGACAACATAATAGCTCATTCAAAACTAAATTGTACATCCCCTATGATATCAACATTTTGTAGTTACTGAAGGAAAATTGTATTTGGAATTGTTTGCCTGTACATTATTTCACATTTAAAAATTGGGTTATTTTAGAAATTTGCCGTGTTCAGATACTGGATAGCAGGGTGGTTTCCTTGGGAAATCTAATATGATAAATGAAGCATCAATTTTAAGACATAGTTTTAAATGCTATGTACCAATTAATATGTACCCTTTATTTTCCTCTGGAATTTCTGAGGAATTTTTTTCCCATCTATGAGATAATGCTGGTTGAATTCTTTTCTTAGTGGTCAATGGGAAAATGAATAGGGAAGCTCTGACAACAACAAATCCTAGAAATAATATTGAATCCAATTAATGCCACCTTGTCATGTATGCATGTGGAATGTCCAAGAGTAGCTAAAAATAGAGATTTTCTGAAATGAGACGCAGGTGTTGTTGCACAGCACTTTCAACTGAGTTAAAAAATCACTTGCCCTTAGTTATGCTTACATGTTAATCAAACTAAGTATTCTATTCTGGTAATGCAGGAACCCTTGCCTTTATTTAGTAGTTATCTTGACCTGTTTATTTTGGATTGATGGGAGGAGCACCTTGTTAGAAGATGGTTGGTCAGAGTCAAGAGAGGGGGTAAGAGATTGGTTAGGTCAACTGAATTCCAGATGCCAGTAATGGGTTCCTACTGAGGCTGCGAGCCTATGTCTTAGTTACCCTGTTCTCCTCATCACACAAGGGCTCAACTACAGTTGTGGGCTCGGGCTCGGGCTCGGGCTCAGGCTCCGGTTCAGGCTCAGGCTCCGGTTCAGGCTCAGGCTCCAGTTGCGGCTGCGGCTCCAGCTCCAGCTGGATCTCAAGCTCAGGCACCAGGACAAGCTCAGGCCCTGAGGCAGGTTCCGAGGTAGGCTTCAGGGCAGGGTCAGGCTCGGTGATCGGCTCATGATCTGGCCCCAGTGTGGCAGCAGGCTCGTTCTCATGGAGGGAAGGCTGCAGAGTTGCTTCTAGTTGGATGACATCTTCACTTGGCATTGCCTCGCACTCTGCACTTTGGCTTACCTTCGTCATTGGTCTGGAGGAAGAAGGTGCAGGGAAGAACAAGTTAGGGTTTGACATTTCACTTGTAGCCACAGGCTCTGTAGCTTCAGCGACCATAGTTCCCAGTCTCTTTGGGAACTTTGTGATTTCTGATAGTCTAACTCACTGTCAGACCATGTGTCTCCATTTTGGGTGCAGAAAGGACAGGTCTCAACAATATAAAGAGAGTTCAGGAGAGAGAAACCAATGTTTAAGAGGTGGGAAAACTGATGTCAGGATGAAAGGGTCTAAAGATCTCATAAGGTCTTTGGGGGCCAAATCCATGACTCTGGCACATCTCTAGCACTCACTCTGTCTAGCACAATACTTAGTACTTAGTTGGTACCCAATACATAGTTGTGGAAGCACAAAAATGGAGGGAGAACAAATGAATGTGTGTGATATACAGAGTGACCAAGAGCCTGGGCTATGGGCAGGGCCGTATTCGGACTTCCACGGGCTCCCTGTTCCATAAAAAAAATTTCAAATTATATTTTATCAGTATTGGTAGAAGGACAACTATGTTAATATATTAAAACATTTTCCTAGCCCTAAAAGGATTGCTGTGGCAGTTAAATAAATTGATACGCATAAAATGCTTAGAACAGAGTCTGGTGCATAGTGCTCAGGACATGAGAGCATCACCGTTCTTTTATAAAAGCAGTGAGAGTGAGCAGAAAGATACCTCTGATAGCTTATGCTAAAAGGAGTGCTTAGGAAGAGTTGACTGAAAGAGGCATGCCTGAGAAATGTCTGTATTCAAGCAAAGACAACAAAGTAAGGTCTTACTCAAGTTCTGTGGTGGTTTTAGAATTTCTCTTCCTCTCCTTCCCCTTTGCCTTTGCCTTGGTCCTTGCGAAGCACACAACCAAGATGATAATGGCAGCACCCACTAAGGCACCCACCAAGGCCCCAACAACGATCCCAACTTCTGGATCTGGAGGATATAAGCAGCTGGTTAGTAAAGTGGAACACAGTGTCTGCCTCATCCACGTGCATCTGTGACCAGTGGGAATATTTGGGGCATTCATATAATTAGAAAGCAACTTGTATAGGTTGGGAGCGTGGAAACCCCTAGAACTCTTTCAGTTGGACTTATAGCAGGACAAGGAAGATGACTGGCTCGACTACGTAGCCTTCCCATTCACGTTTACACACATTAAGAAAAAAACATGCCAACTCGGGGGAGGTGGGGTTGCTTCAGCAATAGGGTTTGGAGAAATGAGTCTTTGGTGTGTGTTTGCATGGCCAGCGAGAGAGAGAGAGACCATGGAGCTGCCATCTGGTCACCAGAGAAATGACCTCTGCTACAGGCAGGGACATTTCACCAGGCTTTCCCAGAGCATGGGTGAAGTAGGTCCCTAAATACCTTCTCTTCCACAGATTCCATGTTCACCAAGGAGCCACCTGCATTCTGGCCACTGGGAAGGGATATGCCCATTTCCATAAGCAGGCATCTGGTTTATTAGATCAGTCCATGGAAAAACTTAATGAGTGTGAGACAATCCAGCTGAGCACCAGACCTTCAAGCGCTGAGGTACTGTCCCCAAGAGACCATGTCTAGGGTTCCAGGTGGGCCCATCCCCATTCGCCTCCCTTTAAACAAGGATGAACATTTTACATTTTGAGATGAAAAGCTAGCTGAGGTGCCTGATCATTCTTTTAATTTTCTATGATTAAAGGAATGTATGTGTATTATTTAGAAAGTCAAACAATTCTACTAGGCTTCTAATAAAAACCCAGCAGTTGCATTCTTCACTTCTTCCCATCTCTAAGTCCTGTTTACTTACAGGAAATTGCCCCTATGTTTCTATTCCTCTTGTTCTAATATGTCCTGCCTTTTTCAATTTTTGTCATTTTCTATTGGCTTCCTACTCTAGAGGTTGAAGATTTAACTCTTACACCACTCCCCTAACATCCTGCTTCATTCTCCTAATATAGTTATAGCATAGTTTTAAGTTAAATCAAAGTTTGCAGTATTATGACTATGTAAATATTGTTCACAGCTGCAGAACATAGTATATTATGATTCTTTCTTGGCCAACATTTAAAAAGTTTCCCCAGTGTTAATAATTGCCCCATTTGGGGGTTTATGTTTTTGTAATAAACAATAGCTTTCAATAGCTTCAAACACATCAGATAATCAGTTAGTTTCTTATGTGTTGTTGTTGACTCCTCGCTTGGAGACATCCCTTCTGAGGTCCTCCACCTTCCTCCCCAACCATGGACTGGCTGCCCTCCTAAGCCTGCTACTCTACCGTCGTCCTTCAACCTCCCCTTGCCTTCATCCCAGTTTTACAGATCAAGAAACAGGCTTTACAGGATTCATCTCAAATGGTAGTTCATTGGTAAAAGCTGGCCTTGGTTCTATAAGCATAATCAATTGTTTCTTCTTTGGCATCCTATAGACCCTGTACAGACCTCTATTATAACATTTAACAAATTTGGTGTTTGTCCCTCTAAGCTAAACTATGAGCTCCTTGAGCGTAAGACATAAATACATCTTTTTAACGTCTGTATCTCCATCGCCTAGGACAATCCCTGGCATACAGCAGACAGTCAATGAATGTCTGAGGAAGGGAGGGAGGGAGGAAGGGAGGCAGGAAGTCAGGAAGGCAGAAAGGCAGGAAGTAAACCAAATGCTAGACATCACTGAAGAGAGGAGTCAAAAGGTAGCAAGGCTCAAGTACAAATCCTAGGAGTCTCTACATCTGCAATATGACTGTACCTCTGGAAAGGCAAAAGGAGATTGGGGACAATCTAGAGAAAAACAAGAGAAACAATCAAGGGACTAGGGGCAAAATGGGACCACAGAAAAGGACAGACCAAAAAAGATGAGGTTTCTTCACTTTGAATAGAAAAGAGCTGAAAGCAATATGAGAATGAAGGAGCAACCTAGAGTTCGAAAATGTCTGTTTCAGGCCAAATTAAAGGAAGAAAGCTCAACTTTATAGGAGAGCAATTATCCAATGGAACTGCCCCTCCTGGATAAGGTATATATTAAAACCACAGATTCATTGTAAGTTAGAAAAAAATGAATAGATGACAGGATCCTAAGTGTAATTAAGTGATCCTTGAGAGCTGTGGCAAGATATCCCTTGTGAGAGCTTGCCCCTGATTGGCTCAATTTGACAATCTCAGGCCCTCAAATCTACACTTAGTAACTAGGCACTTTTGAACTGGAAGGCTGAGGTTTAGAGGCATCCTGACTCTGCCAGTTACAAACTGAATGACCCTGGGTAAGTCACTTACCTCCCTGAGCTTTAGTTTCCTTTCCAGTAAAATGAGGCTTAATATTATATTTTGCCTCCTAGACAGGGTGATTGTAGGACTGAATGAGATAATGCTCATAGCACACAGCCAAGCATCTGGCATATATTTTGTGCTCCACAATATTAGCTACTGTGACTATAGATGCAATGTCATCATTACTATTATTATTAGAGGCAGATTTTAACAAATTACTTAGGAAAGTTTGTGAGCTCCATGTTTGACACAGACTGCTATAGCTTCACCTGGATTTACCAAAAGCATCGCAAAGAAAGTTTAGCCTAGTACTGTCAATAAGGCTGTTGTTTTACTTTCTGGAGATCTTGTGGGGGTTAAACAAAATAATTTTTGTAGACAATTTAAAGTAGTCAGTAGCATATATTAAGTATTGTGTAAGCATTAGATATTAGGATGGTCATTTATCATATCAACCTGTAAATAAAGCACCAGAATCTCCAGAAAGGCAGGAAGGACTAACCAAGGATCCTAATTAATTTACTCAGTTGGCAGGCCCAAGATACTTGACCTAAGGAAAAACTGTTAAATTTATACAATCAACTCACGTGAAGAAGTCAGATCAATTTCACAGGAACTATTGCCAAGGATGTTGATAGCAGTGCACTGGTAATAACCTTGTTCAAAATTAGTCAGATTTCCAATAAACAAAATCCCGGTGGCTGGGTCTGTCAAAACCAGGAAATAGAGTTTTGAAATCTCTTATGTGGGTATAGATCATGTGAATGTAGCAGACCATTCAATACCCACCCACTTCCTCACAATGGCCTCCCTTTCTTGCTATGTCCAGGGTCCAACCAGACCCCTCAAGACTATTCCAAAGGGAGCTCATCTGGGACCATGCCTATTCTCTCCAACCCGCCACCTCTGAGACAAAATGGTCTTGAGTTCTACAAGCTGGGGAGAAGACCAGAGGACAATCATCTTGTCGAAAGACTGACGTTCTTTTTATTCTCTCCTCCCAGAAAAATAGAAAATTGAGCTCTATGACAAGCAGCCAGCCACACACACATGCTGTCAGTCAACCCCACACACCAGGCCTTACCAGGGGCAGTGGAGGGCTATACTTACTGAAGCTTTCTTTCACTGGGACGATGTCGCTTCCTTCAACTTTATACCAGTAGTACACAGGGGAAGGTGTTCCAAGCACCGAGAGGCAAGAAAGAGAGACAGGATGGCCAGTTTCTGGTACTCCTTGAACGCTGCAAAAGGGCTTAGAAGGTTTGACTGTAAAGCAATGACAAAGAGTGAAAAATCCTGCCTGATGAATGGCACTCTGTACCAATTTTAGCCACTTTCTCACTTTCATTTTGTAGAATATCTATGTTTTTTCTTTTTAATCTTTAAGTTATTTTGACAGTTTTCTAGTTGTACCACCAGGTGGGAGTAGAGCACTTCAGGTACAAAGACATTCCCATCACCAGGCCTTTAAGATTCTAATAGCGTCCCTTCCATTCGCCTCCTCCCTAGATTCATAACCATGAATTTCCGCATTGTGTCTTAAAATATGCTTTTATTAAAACAGCCAAATGTAAGCAAACATTAAAAACCAGGAACACAGTTTATACTTCGGAAGTGCAGTTTTAAAGGAAAACAGAACCCTTAAATATTTTGAGATAACTGGTGACATTCTTTTTTAAAAAATTGTTTTATTAATGCCATATTTTTCTTTTCCTTTGTGAGTCATTTTTTGGCATTATTCTTTTGAGGGTGACACAAAATGGTTGGAGGGTTTGACTTTGCCTGGGTCCCTCAACAGGAGAGCAAGCTTATTTTGGGGGGAGGGGTGTGGTACACAGCACTGAAATCTTGATTCATCCTTCAAGCCACAAGCATTTACTTGAGTGTCTTCTGCATGCCCAGCACTGGACTAGGCACCAGAAATTTAAAAGTACCTCTGACACAGTTCTGGAGTGGGGCTGGGGGAGTGGTAAGAGATAATGCTAGGGAGTGGTGGAGGCCAGAGCTTGTGGAGGGCTTCGTGTTTCATGTATTTCATACTGAGAGCAAGAGGACTACAGAAAGAATTTATGTAAGGGAGGGACGATGATAATTCTAACGTTTTACACGGATTGCTCTGACTCCAGGGGTGCATGAGCCAAGGGAGAGGAGGAGACAGATTCAAGAGGTATTAAGAAGTCAAGAGGACTTAATGGCCAACTGGATATGTGGCCTGAGGAAGAGGTCTAGGTTTCTGATTTGGACAGCTGGGTACATGATTTTGCCCTTCCTTGAGATAAAGAATACAGGGGGAGGAGCAGGTTTTCAGGGAAGGAGTGAGGAGGAGGAAGGGGCGATGATGAGGTCAGTTTGGGATGTACTGAGTTTCAGCTGCTTATGCAAGCCCTCAATGGAGAAGTGCTGTGGGAAGCTGAGACTCTGACTCTCCTCCCTCACTCATCTTACTGCTCCCAGCTTATTCTAATGTCAGTCTGACATACAGATAAAGATCTGAATCGATACTTTCCAACTCACTTTCCTTATCTTAATTTGGATATAAACACTGCAAAGACATAGATTCTCTAACTTAAGCTAGTTAGACCTTAAATACTCTGGACTGCCTGGCTCTCCAGCTCTTACTTGGGAGGCAGCAGTTAAGAGCACATGGAATTGCTGTTGGCTACAAGCAGTAGTAACTCTTATTGCCACATTTTATACCTGTGACTGATGTTACTCTTTGAATCTCAGACTCTAACCCACTGTACACATAAGTGGGAAACAGACAAATATAGCTATAGTTCTTTGAAACATTTCACCATCCCTTCTTTTTTAAGTTGAAGTATAGTTGATTTATAATATTGTTAGTTTCAAGTGAACAGCATAGTGATTCAGTATTTTTGCAGATTGTACTCCATTATAGGTTATTACAAGATAATGAATTTAATTTCCTGTGCTTTACAGTGCATCCTTATTGCTTATCTATTTTATACACAGTAGTTTGTATCTGTCAATTCCATTCCCCTAATTTATCCCTCCCTTCTTCCCTCTCCCCTTTGGTAACCACAAGCTTGTTTTCTATATCTGTGAGTCTGTTTCTGTTTTGCATATACATTCATTTGTATTTTTTTAGAATCCACATAGAAGTGATTATGACAGTATTTGTCTTTCTCTATTGGACTTATTTCACTAAGCATAACATCCTATAGGTCCATCCACATAGCTGTAAATGGATATATTTCATTCTTTTTATGGCTGAATAATATTCCATTGTGTGTGTTTGTGTATGTGTGTGTATTAATCACATCTTCTTAATCCAAATGTCTTGTTGCACTATCCCTTCTTTTAAACAGGTGTCTTTTTTTTAATCAAAGTATAGCCAGTTTACAATGTTGTGTCAATTTCTGGTGTACAGCATAATGTTTCAGTCATACATATACATATATTCAGTTTCATATCCTTTTTCACTGTAGGTTACAATGAGATATTGAATATAGTTGTCTGTGCTATACAGTATAAACTTGTTACCTATTTTACAAATAGTAGTTAGTATCTGCAAATCCAAACTCCTAATTTATCCCTCTCTCCCTGCTTTCCCCCTTGGTAACCATGTTTGTCTTCTATGTCTGTGAGTCTGTTTCTGTTTTGTAAATAAGTTCATTTGTGTCTTTTTTTTTTAGATTCCACATATAAATGATATCATATGGTATTTTTCTTTCTCTTTCTGGCTTACTTCACTTAGAATGACAATCTTCCAGTCCATCCATGTTGCAGCAAATGGCATTATTTTTAATCATTTTTATGGCTGAGTAGTATTCCATTGTATAAATATACCACAACTTTTTTATCCAGTCATCTGTTGATCAACATTTAGGTTGCTTCTATGTCTTGGCTATTATATATAGTGCTGCTATGAACATTGGGGTGCATGTGTCTTTTTGAATTAAGGTTCCCTGCAGATATATGCCCAGGAATGGGATTGCTAGATCATAGGGTGGGTCTATTTTTAGTTTTTAAAAATTTTCCATACTGTTTTCCATAATGGCTGCACCAAACTACATTCCCACCAACAGTGTAGGAGGTAAACAGGTGTCCTTTAATTAAAAGAGGTATTTTTCTATTTAGCTCTTTATTCTCTCTGCCTTATATTCCCCACTTTTATTATTCCCTACTTTCTCAGATGGAAATGACTCCTTGGATTTGCCTACCCTAAATAAACTGGATTATTTAACTAGAAACCCAGTGCAACTATCACTAGGTTTAGATACTGCCTTTTAAAAAACATTTTGTAGCTTTTACAGTGGAATAGAACAGTTTGAACAGAAAATTAAATGGGAGTGTTTCATCACAAAGTCAGACCCCAAGACTTGAACTAAAATGATGGACTAAAACCTAGAATGACTTGCAATCATTTCTTGAGCCCAGAATCAAACCCAGATAGGCATCTTTTTTGGCTGAACATATTTTTCTCCTTTTATTTTTTATTAACTAAACACTTAGTGAATCACTTTGAACCCCATCCCAAACCCATATATTTTCTAAAACTACTGATTCAGTATTGCATTGACATTTCATCCAGTTAAAGTCCCCAGTAGAAGTTGGATGTTTTACTGGCAAAGCCATTGATCTACCATTTAGCTTTATTGCTTTCAATAGAATTGGGGTGGGAGGAAAAGGCTCACCTCAGAAAACAAATGAAAATGCTTCAGCGTGTTCTCAAACCTCTAAATTCATCATTTTCTTTTTAGGTGCCAAACTGCAGATGGAAGATGATGCTCATTCCAAATGCATACAAAATAATTATTCAAACTTCTGCTGGGTATTTTTCAGAGATTAATTTTGCAAGGCTGTCATAACTAATGGAAGTCTCTCAAATGAATGGTCATCCAAACCACCTGGGCCTTTGCTCAGTGCTGTTTCCTTCACCTAAATCGTGCCCTGCCACCTCAGCCCCTCTTCTGCTGACATGCTCTTGCACATCCTTCAACACCTGATGCAGAGGTCACTTTCTCCAGGAAGCCTTCTCCAGTTCCTCCTGAACAGCTTTTATGCCCTTTCCTCTGTGATCTCCCACCTCTCCTTTCCTCCCTCCACAGTAAGCTTTTATGTTTTGTATCTGCCTCCCCCACTAGACTTTGAACTTTTGGAGGGCTGGGAGCCTATCTTTTACATCTTTCCATCTCCACTGCCTACCACAGTAACTGGAATGTGTTCAGGGTTTGTCAAATGAATTTATGCACGAATGAGTGAATGCATGGGAATCTATGTCTACCACTGGGTAATGAAATGTCTCTGAAAAACACATTGCTAGAAAGAACAATATGTAAGGAAATATCAATACCTCTCCCCACAAATGGCCTCCCTTACCCACCTGCCCCCACCATGTCCCACCCCTCAGTCAGAGAAAGTAGAACAGGCACTCATATGTAATGGAATTTGAGAACTGCAAACAGCCTCTGCAATTTTTAGAGAAAATTATCAGTCTCAAAATTTCCAAAAAGCATAAATTTGTAGAACATCTTTGTTCTTAGCCTAATTAATAAATATGGGATTTTGAGAGTTCCCAAGCAAAGAAATCTACAGAGCCTTCTGTCTGTTACCTTGCCTGGATACTGGTGGCTTAAAGAAAAGTCATGACACAGTCATTGCAGGAACAACTGACCCAAAGACTCACGGGAAAGAACAACTCAGAGAAGAAATGACCCTCAACTTCCTAAGGAAGTTGATTAGGGATTCTCTAAACTTTAAGAATATTAACCACCTTGTCTAACTTTATCTCAGGGCTATTTCCAAGCTCAGAGAAAAAGAGGTTTGGCTTCTTTAGGTTGTTTCTGGTAAGAAGGAAAACCTAGAGCCAGGGGGCAACAGAAAATCATTAGAGGACTAACCCCTCAAATTCTCTGAACACTGAATCTCTAGTATATCATTTGATTCTCATAACAAACCCTGTAATAAAGACAGGGCAGGAATTATAACCCCATCTCAAAATGGCCAGAGAATCGCAGCCTTCCTTGCCTGAGGCCACTGAGTAGCAGAGTAAGAGCTGGAACTCTGCTGACTCCCAGCCTGATGTGCTAGCATCTATTCCAAACCATTTAGTTCCCATGTATATGGCTAGTCTTCCAAACTGGAACATCAACTCTCCTGGGAAAGGGCTTGTGTATACTTCTCTTGTCATCTCCTGTACCCCAAAGCCTAGCACAGGGCTCAGCAAAATAAAAACATGATAGAGGTACCCTGCTCCTAAAAAATCAGCTCTTGATTACATTTCCCTCTTTTCCAGGTGGTTAGATACAGTAGCAAACCTCACAGTAAATAGATGGTTCCTTTCTGGCATCATGTGGCATCTGGCATCATGTCAGCAAGCTTAGACAGTTATGGACCGTTCTCCTAGGTGTGCACCTTGTTACCAACTGTGGCTTTTCCAAGCTACTCAGTTATCAGATCACTGGTTTGACCTAGTTCCTCCTTTCCTGTGATGGATATACACAGCTCAAGAGCAGCAATGACTAGATTAACTCCATTTGGGGTTACTTAGAAGTGGGAAAGCCCTTAGCTCAATGGTTAGTCGGTGAGGGTTGACAGCCCTTTCATTCCTCTCTTCAGTACTTCAGTACTTCTGAAGGCCTGCAGAAAGGACCTGCTAGGCCTAAAGACAGGAGCAAAACTCCCACTGTCCTCTCAGAGACTGGAAGGAGCCCTAGAAATTACCAAACACTGTGAACTCCCCAAAGGCAGTAACCATGCCTCCATCTCTGTTAAGCATCATGGCTCCTGGCATACAGTAGGCACTCAACAAATTCATTTGAAGAGCATATACGACTTGCCCAATGTCACATAATGAATATTTGTCTATAAATAAATTAATTCTCAACTATGGCTTAACATGTGGTCCTTTTCCCAAACAGCATGAACATTTTAGAAAGGGACCCTTCTGCCTTTATTCAAAAGAATGATTTAATGGTGGGAACTGTGGTTAGCTTAAGAGAGGTATAACAAGTTGACAGTTGTCTCCCCCACCTAGGACTGGCTCTAGTTGGAGCTTCCTTCTGAAAGAGCTGCTAGCGATCACTTAGTGGGACTCTGTTGTCCCATCTTTCTCATTGCATCCTTCAGAGACAGGGATCTCAGAGGTTTGGTCACCTATTGCTAGCTGTCATTTTGGCAGCCCTTTTGGTTTGGCAACTGTTTTGACATGTTTTATGAGTGATTTCTCAGTGTTACTCTATGGGTTAGGTTGGTGGTGTATCTCTATTTTCCTGATAATAAAAGGAACAGGGAAGATATTTACCCCTGGGACTTAACTGGCACCATAACTCACTGCCCTGACTCATTCAATGTCCTAAGTTGTTCCAAGAAAAGAAAAAGCAGAAAAAATCGTCCATACCTAACACGCTGACGTTGAGGATGCCCTGGTTTTTGCCGAAAAAGTCAGGGGGGTTGTTAACATCACAGACGTAGATGCCGCTATCTGCTGGCTGCATATGCGAAATAGTGATAGATGCGTTACCTGGAGCACTGGAGCCTACAATTCGACCTTTAAATTGCCCAATGGCTGCAGCTTGTCCACCTTCAGAATAGTAAATCTAGGACAGAAAAAATGACAGAAATGAGAACTGGAGAGTGTCTGGGTCTAGGAATAAGGTACCCAAAAGTTCCCTCCAATGCTACCTTCTTTGATAAGCAGCAGCATTTCGTCCCCTGTGAGGAACAGGTCCCTGTGGCAAAGGTTTCTCAGGTCAGTGGGCCACTTTAGCTTTCTCACAGCTGTGCACAGCCATGACCTCATGTGCATTCAAAGCAGCTCTGTGATGCCATCAGGGCAGGGAGGCATGCCTGTCTTACAGACAGAAGGCAACTGGAGCTGACAGGATTCAACTCCTAAGCTTAGGCTAGGAGATCAAGCTGCTCACCTGATGAGTCTACCTGGAGGAAACTCATTATATAGGACACAAATGCCTGATGGGAAAACCAAAACCATCATCTTTTCCCCTACTTTACAAACTATTTTGATTCATGTTTACTTCACCCAGTGAGACTATCTGGAATATCTCATTTCCCTAAAAGTTAGACTATTCATTCTCCTTTTGAACACACATAATCCTTTGATAACTGAGTTCATCCTGTTTGTTAGAAGGATAACATTCCAGAGCAGAGAGGCTCCTGAGAAACCATCTGACCCCATGCCCTCATAGTGGTGGTCTAATGATGAAGCAGTGTAACCCAGTCAAGGGCCTAGGAAGTGCTTGGTCAATGGTAGCTTCTACCTTCTCCCAATGTGGCAGGAGGCAGAACTGGAATTCTTATTACTTTTAGACAAATAAGGGCACGCAGAAATTAAATGAATCACCCAAAGCCATAAAGATTTATTTACTATTATTACTGTTTACTAGATTTAAGAAAGCTCTTGATTCTAGTCCCACCTCTATTATAGGACATGAATATTTAGATCATAATGGCAACTGAGGGAGCAGCATGGAGTGGTGGAAAGAGGCCTGGTCTAGGAGTAAGATAACCTGGGTTTTACCCACAGCTCAGCCTCTGACTATGACACAGGGGAGACAGCCTCTAGTCATGCCTCTGTGGCAACCTGCTTTGTAATACGAAAGAAAGTTATTTAATCTCTCCAACCTTTAGTTCCCACATGGGAACAAGGAGTCAGAGCAATGTTCTCTAAAGTATGATATGTATTCCTCAAGTACAGGCACATAAGTGCATTTTAGGTGGTAAAAAAAGTGAAAACTTAAAAAATGTAATGTGTATTAGAGACATATCTAGCACATCAAATCTAACTCCACAGATATTAGTGTTTTCAGTGAAACTAAGATATTTTTAAGATTTTTAAAAACCAAGTTAATATAGAAGACAACATTAATAATTAATAGTGCTGGTGATATACAAATATGACAAAATTCATAAATATGAAACATGAATGACTTGAGAATCACTGGACTAAGTGATCCCTGAGGTCTCTTCATAATACACATAGTCTCTTATGTACACACTTTGTTAGTTTCATGTAATTGTGTGTAATTCAAGTGATTCTTTTTTATTTATTATTCAATAAGCTGGTATTGCCCTAGTGCAGGGGCAATTAATATTTCATAAAATCTACTAGAAAAGGCTTATGGTTCATTTAATTCACTCTCCTCACTTTACAGAAGAAACTGAAGCCCAGAGAGGTTAGAGAAAAAAAGACACACAAAGTCAACAGTTGGGAGGGGTCTAGCACTCAGTTCTTCTAATTCCTTGGCCAGTGCTCTTTACATTTAACAGGCTAATGAAAGAGGGAAGGCAATCAGCAAACCAAAAGATATTGTCTAGATAAATTCAAATGTATTCTCCTTCAGGTAGAAAGCCAAAATATTTTTTAACTAAGGCAGGAAAGGAGATTCTGATGGAAAATTCAAAGAGAATATATTTAAGGAGGAAACAACCTGTCTCTCCTCCAGTTCTCTAACATCAACTAGCTATCTTTCCTGCCCTAAATGAGCCATTTATAACTCAATTCATCCATTCACACCTACTAAAATCACAAACTTTTGCCCCAGAGGGGTCTTGTTCCAGTTACAAACCTGAAAGCCAGCATTAACCAAAGGTATTCAAGCAGGTGGGGAAGAAGTTCAACTTGTCAAAGGTCTATGACCCTCATTTGAGTTGACACGTAAGCTTTCCATTTCACTAGCCAGTGCTGGCCTTATTTACTTTCTAATGAACAACTTGTGATCCTGTGGACTCTTACCTGGAACACAGCCTCTGGTCCATCAAGGAAGCCCTTTACAACTTAGACATCTGGCTGCTTCCCTGGGAGCAGGTCAGCCTGTTTTATGTTGAGGCTTGATGACATCACAATGAGATACATCTGTGCTGCCTATGGCTCACAGTAAGTCCCAGAGGATCTAGATGAAAGGACCTTATTTCTGCAGAGAGCAGGGGCCCAAGAGAGTATGTTTTAGGTCAGGACTGGGACGTGAAAAGAAGCCACATGGTTAAAGTCTCACAGTTGGGCAGGAATCAATGAGCAAATAAGTCATGAGGCCCTGGACTTGTAGCTTCCCTACAAAAAGGATCTTCACCAACCCTTCTACCCTAGCTCCTCACTCTGTAGCCTAATATATTTTGCCCTCTCACAAATAAAACTAAAGGTGTCAGGGACAGAAATGGAGATAAGGAGGTATAACAATTGGAGACCTAAAAGGGGAAGGCCTTGTCCTCAGGATGCTGTATGAGAAGCAAAGGCCCCAGGGCTAGTCGGTGGCCAGATACATAGATGGAGGGACTTTCTGTTAGGGGAAGTCCATGCTCTCACACTGTCCTTGTAAAGAAAAAAAATGAAATGTTTTCCTGAAACCACTTATCTAATCACACAGGAAGCACTGAAACTTGCTTCCATTTTCCACAAAAGAATAACTCTTTTAAAAATCAAAACTGAACAATGGCCAAGGCCCAGCCCATGATCCTGTGAGGCCTGTACACTTTTCAAAGAAAGTGTATTGTCAATTTTGAGATCAAAGCAATTAAGGTCCAGGAAAAGCCACGGATGTTCAACGGGCCACATCCTTTGAGGGTGGTGATGGGGGGTAGCAAGTCTGCTTTAAGAATATCCATCCAAGTGTTCCCTTAAGTGGTATTTGTGAATTTTTTGCCCACTTGCCCTTTGTGGCTGTGTTCATGGAAGACTTTCCTACATTGCCCCAAGATCCCCTCAGCCTGCCCCTTGGTGAAGTTAAGAAGCTGACATGTGGAGACATAATAGCACATTAGTTATAAGGCTCCCTTGGAGATCACTCAGCTCATGGTTTCCAAGGTTGAGGAGCCTTCAGGAACCAGCTGAACATTGGAAATATGGGAAATGGCTGGGAGGGGCTGGTGGAGAGTGGGAAGATCATAGAGGACAGTGGGGACTGTGGTGAACTGGAGAGCCAATACAAACAAGGCTTTTGAACTGTGGAAACAAACAAAAATACTTGGCTAGCTGACCAACAAGCATCCACTGGCCAAATTGGGCCCAGAGGCTGCCAGTTTGCAACCTCTGATTCATCTTCTTCTATTATAGGAAAGGACAATGACGCCCCAACAGAGAAAGTGATCATCCCAAGGTCACACAATTTGTAGTCAGACCTAGAATCCAGACCTCTGGAGTTCCGCTGAATACATTAACATGGCACTCATAGTCCTGCCTTAGGCCAGGAAGATGATTCCCAGGCAATCTTCCCTGCTTGGGGCCAATCTACCCCCTACTCCAGCCCAACCCTTCTCCTGCCAATTGCTGCTATTCATTGGCGTGATGCTTCCCATGCCGAGGGGGTTCACCACATGATGCCTTCAACAGTTGCCAGCTGCAGTAACAGCCTTTCTTTTCCTACTGTGCCAAGTTCCTATTCACATGACGTCGTGCAGCTGGGAACCAGATTTGTCCAAAAAGAATTTTTTCCCCTTAGCTTTGTGACACTGCTCTCTAACTAGAAGCTGGAATATAAACAAGAAGGGTTGAAAGAATTCAGTCAGCTTTCTGTTTGAGTCTGAGTTGGAGTTTAATAAATGCCTTTAGCCTCCAGAGATGCTTTTGTGGGTTCCTTTTGAAAGTGTGGAGGGCATGGAAGTCCACAGAAACCCACCAGTTCTCTCCCTTCCAGCTTCTTGCTTTCCTGTGCTGCTCATAAAGGCACTGGCCATGGGAGGGGAGGAGTGTTTAGTGGCAATGGTCTGAAGCCCAGAATTTTCTCTGGACTATACATAGGGGCTGGGATTGCACATGGAAGGAATACAACACCAAAAGGAAGAATTCCCTGCCCCCAAACCACTCCCTTCCCAGCCTGCCATTTGCCTGAGATACCCACCAACTGAATCGCTTCTTTGAGCCATGAAAGTTTTCTGCTTAAATGATTTTCTTTGGAAGCAAACAAAATAAATGATCACCAGTCCCTAACACCTTAGCATTAGATTAATTTACCAGATTTACCAAGAATAGACAGCTGAGGCAACAGGACACAGAATAGATGAACTGTGATGCAACGGGGTGGTAGAAAAGGAAGAACTTGGAGTATTTCTCAATAGCAGTCACAATGGCATTTTGGGCAGACAATTCTTTGTTGTGTGGGTCTCTCCTTTGTATTACAAGACATTTACTCTCTCTAGCCACCACCCACTAAATGCCAGTAGTGAGTCCCATTTATAACAATTTAAACCAACACTCCCCTCATTTTCAAATGCCCCTGAGGAGATAAAGCACCTTCACTCCACTAACATTTGAAAAGCATTTGATATAATGCTGTCCGCAGAGGCCAGGACAAGTGGGAAGAATCTGAGCGGCCAAAGAATATAAAGACATTGGGTTATAGAAAGAAGTTGTTCACATTATATGTATGTTAGAGAGATGAAGACGGCAGAGTTTCTTCCACTGTGGCTATTCTAGAAGAGTAAGTATTGTCTGAGAGAATCAGGCTAAGTGGGGTCAATGCCCGTTCTAGTCATGGGCAGGTGAGGTCTCTGTAGTTTTCCCAGTGACTTGCTGGATGGAAGAGGAGGCCATTCATGTGATCAGAAGAGAACCAGACCACCCAAGACTTCCATGCTCCTCTGGAAAAGCAGAGAGAAGCATACGCCTGTAGGATATGGGGAAAGAGGGTAGGGGTGCCAGTTCTCCTGAAGTAGAGACTTAAAGATGGTTATTATGAGGATCTTGCTGGGAAGAAAGGAGGGGAAGAAAGGTGGGAAAAGAAGAAGAGTTAATTAAGCCTGTCTTTTTGGAGGTGGTTTTCATTGTCTCCAAGCCAAGAGTTGGCCCAACTCCACCCTGTATTCCATGTACCTAAGGCACAGGCATAGCACAGTTCTCATGCACTTGGAGAAGCATCTAGAATGTTCTAACATCAAGGAGCATGTTCTCACTGATGCAGCAGCTCAGTGCAGAGGACCTCTTTTGACTTGGACATCCCTGAAGAGTAGATACCTTAAATTACTTGCCTTGTCTATAACTGTTATTTTGAAGAATGAGGCAAATGGCAAGTAAAAAAGCTACTCAATAATTACTTATTTCTTAATAGATTTCTTTCTAAAATGCTTCTAAGAGATGTCTTGAGCTCAAGCCGCACAGTTCAGTAACCTACACCTTCTTCCTCTGTATCTCCAGGTCTCGGAAAAAAAGCTCATTGCTGATCACAGGATTCTTCAGCCCTGCATCTCCAGCTCCTCACCAGCCAAAGTTCAACCAAGAGGTGGCCTTGTAAGTTTCAGTGTCAGAGAAGGCATAAAGAAGGATTTGTGTTCTTGAATTCTAACTGGCCTGGCCTGGCCTCTAGGCAGTTGAGGACATCTTGATTTGAGTACCAAGCGTAAAAACTTTTCAAAATATATTGGCAAGGCTTCCCTAAATTCAGCCCCTACTGGAAAAATGAGAACAACTTCAAGCCTACAGATAAAGAATGTATTGAAAAGACTAACTAGGAAACTAAACTGTTAAAAGGAAGAAAGATCGTGTGATTATTGCCATCCACAATTTAAGAGAGCAGCCTGCAAAGGAAAGGGATGATTTCTTACATGACTGCAACAGGTGATGTTTTGGGTCAGGGCATTTTGAGTGATGAAAACTTGGTAGAATTACTGTTGCTCCTGCTGCTGCTTCTGATGATGATAATGGTGCTTACAAGGGAGAAAACTTACAGGGCATTTTATATTTTCCGACTGTTTTCACATGCTTTGTGTCAGTCAATTCCTCATGAGACATGCAGAAGAATACCATTGTTCTACCATATTTTGAAGAAAGGCACCGAGTGATCCAGATACCTGTCTAAAGTAACCAGTAGTGAACAAAACTGTTGAATTTTGACTAGAGGGTGGAGTTGATAGAGTCTCCTATTGAACGATGTTTCCTGCTCAGCAAGTGTTCAGAACCTTCAGTAAAAAGAGGACTCAGCACCTCTAAAAGAACAGTAATGGCTGAAGCAACACTGGCCCTCCTTCTTCTCCACCTCTTCCCTTGGGCCTCCCCCAGCCTACTCAACTCACTCTCCCTCTGTCTTTCTATAATCAAAACCTTTCCTTTCCTTCAAGGCCCAACTCAACTATATCCAACTATTCCAAACCATACTGATTTGAACTCCTTGTTTCTCCGAACTCCTTATTTCATACATCCTTTTGAAAATCTGCTGAAAGCTAGACTTTTTCCCTAAAGGGATATGTATTGGCATACATGCACACACACACACATACACACACACACACATACACAAACACATATGCTTTTGACTATACAATTTTAGTCCTTGGGGTAATTTAAAGAAGGAATTGCCCTTAAGGCCAGATTAAGAAAATTTGGGAATAGGCAGCTTGCAAGGAGAATCATCCTCCTCCTTTGAATTTCATCCACCCTCCTCCTGCAATCTCTTCTCCAGACCCTAGCCTCCCTTCCTGTCCCCTATCCTCTAGCCTCCTGCTGCCTTCAACTACCCAGGTTCATTACTATTTTGCCCTTCCCCACCCAACTGGAGAGTCTAACTCCATCAGGACTCAGTCTGGCACTATGAGCTAGCTCACGTGACAGGCAGAGCCCAGATATTAAGTCTGACAGAGATCTTCAGATCAACCAGGACATGCATTTGAACTAGGGTTTTCTGGAAATAATAGGGAGATTTTTGGTGGGGGTGGGGAAGCCCTTTCAGAACTACTCATTTCACCTGTGAGAAAGATCCTTCCTGTCTACTCTAGAATACAGGATATACTTAATGTTAACCTACACGGAATTGAAGATAATATGCTATAACTGAATATAAAGCAAGGACAAAGACCAAGTCACTTAGAGGATGATCTTCCCTAAATAGCTATCTTCAAACTCTGTGTCTGAGGTTCTGCCCCTGTTGTCAGTGGCTTACCACTCCTTCTACACACACTGGCCCCAACAGTTTATGTCAGAACTACCAAACGGGAATAGCTTAGAGAAAAAAAGTCCTTACAGAAACTGGCTGTAACTCCTTCTTATGGAAGAATGTCCACTGGATTGAAAGCTTGTCCAGGGAGGCCACAGTGGTGGTGTAGGTGCAGACGAGAGTGACATCAGATCCAACAGTCACATTCACGAAATTGTCTGGGATGGTCACTTGCACTCCACTAACTCGACCTGAAAAGATAATCATCAAAAAGACAAAGACAATGACATCAAAAAGACTGATGACATTTTTTCATTACAAAGTACTTTCAATGACATATTATTTGAGAAATCTAAGGTGAGAAGGAGAATGCAGAATGAACCATATAGGAAAGTCAAGCAAGTGACTGGCATGAAGTAGAGAAGTTTCTAACAAACTACAATGTGAAGGTATTCAGCTCCTATGTGATGGTGAGCTAATAACACTGAACTGAGAATTTCTTCTGTGTAGGGATGACCTGACAATTTGTACAGCAACTCTGGGAAACTAACACACTCTCTATTCTTAACATGCTGAGAGTTTTTACTACAAATCGGTGTTGGATTTTGTCAAATGTTTTTTCTGTGTCAATTGATATGATCATTAATTTTTTTTAATTTAGCCTGTTATGAGAGATTATTACACTGAATTATTTTTGAATGTTGAACCAGCCTTGCATACCTTAACTAAATCCCACTTGGTTAGAATTATTTCTAAACATTGTGGGATTCCAATTTGCTAGTGTTTTGTTGAGGGTTTTTGAGTGTAAGTTCATGAGAGATATTGGTCTGTTAAGTTTTCTATTTTTATAACTGTCTTTGGTTTTTGAATCAAGGTAATACTGGCCTCATAAAATAAGTTTGAAATGTTTCTGCCTCTTTTATTTTTTGGAAAAGTTTGTGTAAAATTGGTGTTAATTATTTTTTAAACATTTGGTAGAATTATCCAGTGAAAGTATCTAGGCCTAGAGATTTCTTTTCAGGAGGTTTTTAAATTATGAATTCAATCTCTTTAATGATTATAGGGATATTCATATTATATACTTCACATTGGGTGAGTTTTAGTAGTTTGTTGTTTTTGAGAAATTGATCCATTTCTTCTAAGTTATCAAATAGATGAATGTAAAGTTATTCATAGTACTTCTTTATTATATTTTTAATGACTGTAGGATCTATAGTGATATTCCATATTTCATTTCTGATATTAGTGATTTGTATCTTATCTCCTTATATTTTTACTAGTATTGCTAGAGGTTTGTTGATTTTATTTATTGATTTTTTTTAAAGAACCAGATTTTTATTTCATTTAATTTTCTCCACAGTTTTCCTATTTCAATTCTATTGATTTTAGCTCTTAATTATTTTCTTCCTTCTGCTTGCTTTGGGTTTATTTTGTTCTTCTTTTTCCAGTTCCTTGAAGTAGGAACTTCAATTACAACTGAATTCAATGAGACTTCTCTTCATTTCAAATGTAAGCATTTAGTGTTATAAATTTTTCTCAGCACTGCTTTAGCTGCATGTTACATTAGTCTATATGTTATATTTTCATTTTCATTCAGTTCTATGTATATTTTTTAAAGTTCCTTTAAGACTGTCTCTTTGATCCACAGATTATTTAGAAGTGTGTTGTATAATTTTCAAATATTTACAGACTTTCTTGTTGTCTTTCTGCTCTTGGTTTTTAGTTTGATTACACTGTGCTCAGAGAACAGAATTATGACTTCAATTCTTTTGAAAGTTTTTGAGGCCTGTTATATGGCCATGCCCATGGTTATCTTGGTAAGTGTTCTGTGGGACTTGGGGGAACAAGTGCATTCTGCTATTTGGGGGTAGAATATTCTATACAAAGAGATATACTTTAAAACACTATGAATACTCTCCAAGATAGACCACATTCTGGGCCATAAAACAAACCTTAACAAACTTAAAAGAATAGAAATCATATAGTGTCACCTCTTACACTACAATGAAAATAAAGTAGAAATCAATAACAAAAACGGTTACTGGAAGTCCCAAAACACATGGAGATTAAACAACACACTTCTAAATAACTCATGGATTAAAGAAGAAATCTCAGGAGAAATTTTAAAATATTTTAAACTAAATGAAAATGAAAACACAACTTACCAAAATTTGTGGTGTGCAGCAAAAGTGCTTAGAGGGACATTTACAGCATTGAATGCATATATTAGAAAAGAAGAAAGCTCTAAAATCACCCATCTAAACTTATTCCTTAGGAAACTAGAAAAAGAAGAATAAATTAAATCCAAAGTAAGAAAAATAAGAGAAATAATGAAAATTAGGGCAGAAATCAATGAAACTGAAAACAGGAAATCAATAGAGAGAACCAATGAAACCAAAACTGATTATTATAAAAGATAAAGAAAATTGGTAAGATTCTAGCCTTAAGAAAAGCATACAGGGGACACAAATTACTAATATCAGAAATGAAAGAGAGGCCATCACTGCAGATACGATGTATATAATAATAAAGGAATACTAGGAACACCCCTATGCCCAAAATTTGATAACCTAGATGAAATGGACCAATTCCTTGAAAGATACAATCTGCCAAAACTCACACAAAACATAGACAATCTGAACAGGCTTATATCTATTCTATATCTATTAAAGAAATTGAATTAATAATTAATAACCTTCCAAAACAGACATCACCAGGCTCAGACGGGTTCACTGCTGAATTCTACCAAATATTTAAGAAAGAAACTATACCAATTCTCCACAACCTCTTTCAAAAGACAGAACAAAGGGAATACTTCCTAACTCATCCTAAGATGCCAACTGAAATCAGACAAAGATATTAAGAAAACTATAGACTACTATCTCTCATGAACATAGATGTAAAAAGCCTCAGCAAATTATTAGCAAATCAAATCCAACAAGGTTTCAGGGTACAAGATTAATGTACAAAACTATTGCCTTCCTATATACCAGCATTGAAAAAGTGGAATTCAAAATTAAAAACACAATACCATTTACATTAGCACCCCCCAAAAATGAAATATGTAAGTGTAAGTCTAGTAAAATCTGTACAAGATCTGTATAAGGAAAACTAAAAAACTCTGATAAAACAAATCAAAGAAGAACGAAGTAAATGGAGAGATAGTCTATGTGTATGGATAGGAAGACTCAATTATCATCAAGATGTAAGTTCTTTCCAACTTTATCTATAGACTCAATGTAATCCCAATCAAAATCCCAGCAAGTTATTATGTGGATATTAACAAAGTTATTTCAAAGTTTATATGGAGAGGCAAGACCCAGAATAGCCAATACAACACTGAAGAAGAACAAAGTTGGAGGACTGAAACTACCCAGGTTAAAGACTTCTTATAAAGCTATAGTATTCAAGACTGCGTAATATTGGTGAAAGAAAAGACAAATAGATCAACAGAACAGAACAGAGAGCCCATAAATAGATCCACATAAATATGGCCAGCTGATCTTTGACCAAGGAGCAAAGGCAATACAATGGAGCTAAGAAAATCTTTTTAACAAATGATGCTGGAACAAAATGGATGTCCATGTGCAAAACAAATTAATCTAGACACAGATCTTACTTCTTTCACAAAAATTATCTCAAAATGGATCAGAGATCCAAATGTAAAAACAAAATTATAAAATTCCTAGAAGATAATATAGGAGAAAATCTAGATGATCTTGGGTTTGATGAAGACTTTAGATACAACACCAAAGGCATACTCCATGAAAGAAAAAAATTGATAAGCTGAATTTCATTAAAATTAAAACTGCTCTGCAAAAGACACTATCAAGAGAATGAAAAGACAAGCCACAGACTGTGTGAAACTACTTACAGAAGACATATCTAATAAAGGACTATTATCTAAAATATACAAAGAACTCTTAAAACTCAGTAACAAGAATGCGAACAAGCAGACTGAAAAATGGACCAAAGACCTTAAAATACATCTCACCAAAGATGCTATACAGATGGCAAATAAACATATGAAGAGATGCTCCACATTATATGTCATCAGGGAATTGCAAATTAAAACACTACACACACATTAGAATGGCCAAAATCCAGAACACTGAAATATTGAATGCTGATGAGGATATGGAGCAACAGAAATCCTCACTTGTTGCTGGTGGGAATGCAAAATGGTACAGCCACTTTGAGAGACAGTTCGGTGGTTTCTTACAAAACTAAACATATTCTTACCATACTATACAGCAATTATATCCCTTGATACTTAACCAAAGAATGTGAAAAATTATATCCAGAAGTCTGCACATGGATGTTTATAGCAGTTTTATTTATAATTGCCAAAGCTTGGAGGCAACCAAGATATCCTTCAGTAGGTGAATGTATTAATAAACTGTTGTACATCCAGACAATGGAATGTTATTCAGAGCTAAAAAGAAATGAGCTATCAAGCCATGAAAAGACATGGAGGAAACTTAAAAGCATATTCCTAAGTGAAAGAAGCCAATCTGAAAAAGCTACACACTGTATGATTCCAACTATATGATATTCTGGACAAGGCAAAACTATGGAGACAGTAAAAAGATCAGTGGCTGTAAGGTGTTGATGCAGAGGAAAGCATGAATAGATGGAGCACAGAGTATTTTTAGGGCAGTGAAAATACTCTGTACAATAATATAATGGTGGATACATGTGATTACATGTTTGTCAAAACCCAAAGACATTCTGTCTACTATGTTAGGAAACTCCTATTTAAATCTTTTATTTTAGCAGACAGTCCCTTTCATTTTGTTTTATTTATGTTTTTGCACACGTCTTAGCCTACTTTTGTGGGCTATATTTCTAATGCTAGTTTAATTTTCAGTTTTTGCAGTGTTGTTTCAGTTTGTTTGGTTATCTGGGGTCCCCAGGGCTTCCGTTTGTCCCTGACCCTGTTGCCTGAGTGGGTGGAAGCATTTCTCCAGGTCAGGCTGCTGAGGGTCTCTCAGTGGGAGATCAGTATGGTAGGATACGCCTACTGGAACCCCCAGCTGCCCTGCTGTCTCTGTGGGGCGGGGTAGTGGAAGAATCTCAGACCCACAGAGACAAAGAGCCTTCAGGAAGCAGGTATTTGCTGTAGCTTCATCCCTCTTGTCTGTTCCACTTTCCCACCTCAGTATCACTAGGTGAAAGGAGGAAGCCTCAGGCCCAGTGGGGAAGGAGAATGCTTCTTCTGTCTACTACTATTGGTGGGGCCCCGATGAAT